TTATCATGTAAATGTATAAGAGAAAATTCATATAAAAAGGTTTTTAAAATATTTTAGATAATATGAAACCGTATGTTTCTTAGAAAAATGAGTGTTAAGGGCCAAAAAGTTTTTGTAATTCCATAATAACAAGTAAACATAGGCGATGGAAATTTATGGTTTTAATATCTCAATAACCTGTAAATTAAAAAAGGTATGTTTTTAAAGAAACAATACCTAATATGTTTGTTGTTTATAATTTTATAGTGTTGTAACTTATAAACTTTTGTTTTTAGTTGGCTGAGGAGGAGCAATAAATGCCCGAAACGCGTGTAAATAATATCAACACGTATCAACTAAATAAAATTTTGATGATAAAAATTACCAAGTGCCTGAAAGTAAATACAATAATAATTTGTGTTTGAATTACTAATAATAACTACTGGCACGGTTTCAAAATACCAGAATCAAAATTCTTGATTTTAAATTATAAGTTGTTTAATGAAGTTATTTATTATTATTCTATATTATAATTTGCATATTTACATTTGCATTTTTGTGCATCATCTTTGTTTTACTAGTAGTCACTTTAAGAAAATTGCAGATTTTGGTCAAAATGCTTATTATTTAAAAAGAAAAAAAAAAAAAAAAAAAGAATAATAATTAGCCTTTAAAATGTATTTTAGGTAACTGGAAATTATGATACAGAAAAGCAATGTAAAACTGTTATTGTAGACTTATAAATTCCCACTGTTGTCCATCCATCTGTCTGTCTTTCCTTAATCTCGAGAATGGAATTATATAGATGAAATCCAAGACCGGAGCAGGAGACCCTAATTAACTATATATGAACTTCCAATGCAAACTGAAAGTCATATAATTCCAATTCAAAACTTTTCCCCAAAAGCAGTTAATAGATGACTGGCATAACTATTGTTAATAGAAAAGTATGATGTACAGTACAAGGGCAAGACACTACAATACTACAGTAGAGCGTTGATTATCCGAATCAATTGGGGACTGGGGTTGTTTGGAAAATCAATATTTCGGATAACCAATTATGTACGAAAAAATATATTAACCTATCCCATGTTGAAATTTTTCTGCATTGCGTGTCGCTTTGCGTTGAATTTTCGTCGATGTTAAGCCTAACATAAACTTTTTAAAATAATAATCATGGCTATTGTATCTTTAAAAATTAGAAAATTAAGCTTCGTTTAAATACTGGCTCCCTTTCATGGTCGAATGAGTGTTGCCAGCTAAAACACGTAAAAATAATNTTTTATTAAATATTTGATTTGTTATTGACAAACTTGGCCATTATTTAATTCGGTGCACGCTTAAAGTCCAGGCCTGGCACACTAACGCGAATCCGCATAAAGTACCCATTAGGAAACGGCTATTTCTGACACACAGTCGTGTCGATAATCGTTGGAAAAGTCGGAAAAATAATATAGTACTTTACAACTGGTGCCCAAACAGGAACTCTACGGTTAAGATTAGACTTGGTTGCTTTCTTTCATAGATTTTGAATTTGGCTTTAGAGGAGTAACACCTCGTAAGTAAAGAAAAAAAATGTAAAGTACTATATTATTTTTCCGACTTTTCCAATGATTATCGACACAACTGTGAGCCGGAAATAGCCGTTCCCTAACGGGTACTTTATGCGGATTCGCGTTAGTGTGCCAGGCCTGGACTTTAAGCGTGCACCGAATTAAATAATGGCCAAGTTTGTCAATAACAAATCAAATATTTAATAAAAGTTCTAGTAATAAACTATATACAAAATTTAGTAAAATTCAAATAACAATTTATTCAATGAAAGTCAATAAGAATCAACCTGACAAAACTCAAATCAATCTATTTCCTAACTTAATTCTATTCCCCTTTGGAATTCGACAAAATTTCAAAGACTTAATTTATATACAATAATTCTTATGAATTAAAGATCCTAATCATCACCTCAATATACTAGGAACCCTTTTCCTCAACTCTCAAGACTTTCTCTAATCTTCGATCCACAAATCGAATAACTTCAAAAGCGCCTTGGAACTATTTTATCCTATCGGACACCTCTCTTTCGTTTGCTGCTACGAAGCTCACCAAGCTCATTGATAACAGAAGCTCACCGCGTCCATCTTCACTTGAGATTCGGACTTTATACTGTGAGGTGACGTCACAACTCTGAATGCAATCACTCCCCTCATTTACATACTTATTTGCTAACAATAAACTTTTTCTTTTGTCTAACAATAAACTTTTTCTTTTTGTTTCTATTTTCTGACAATACTCGCTAACCTTTTACATTATTCTTTTTGACAATTTTAGGGATATTTTTACTCTTTAAGGTTTAGTGAGTCCCTAAGTTGTGCTTGTGGGGTCTCCCCCTTTTCTTGGTGCGGACTTACTTTTTTCCGCTCGGGAGCACAAGGGTGCGCGAGTTTTTTTCTACAACGCTTTTTTCTCGTTGGTGAGTTGGTTTCTCTTCTATTTTTAAGTTTCTAAGGTGAATGGTAAGGAAACCTTTGTCCTAACAAAACATAAGCCCCAACAAAAATTATAATAAAAAGCAAAATAAAAGTAAATAAAAATAATGCTTGGACTTGGTTCCTTACATGGTTAGTGGATTTAAGTTGCCACTCTTCAAATCTGATCTATTATATACTCCAATATAACAGTACTCTAACTTGTGCAGTAATTTATCAGTAAATTTGAAATTTTTATCAAATAGTTTTAAGAGATTTGTTTTGTATCACTATTACATTAATATTCCGAATTTCACATATAGGTAGGTTATGACTAATTATTCTGCTTAATAATCAATTGTTTAAATATTTTGCTTAGTAGTTGTAAATCAACAATTCAAATCATTTAAATCTGATTGAAAGAAATCTCATTATCTCTGTGGTCTGAGGGTGCCAGGGAATTTTTTTTCCAGTTGTGGGTTTGTCTCAGCCAAACGGTGAGGTACGGGGCATGACAAATCCAAAACAAACTTCTCACAAAATGTTGTGAGGATTTCGACTTGATTCCTTTACATTTACCAATTCTGCTATTCAGTTATTCAAGTTAATGGAATATTTCTTTCATTTTTCTTTGTGTAGTTTAATTTAAATTCAATATACATTTTAAGTTTATGTTAACTTAGTAGACATGTGCTAACAAATTATGCTACATTGTGGAAAAACTGGATTCTGCTCAGAAAGTGAAATTTGTTTGAAATTTCAATGATAACATAATTTTTATTACAGTATTGCACAGATGTCTTCCGCTTCCCATTGACTCTACCGTGGTCATCAAAGATGACGATGACAGCGTTATCAATGACAGTCGTTTACGGAAGGCTCTCGAGTAAGTGGCTCCTTATAACCTTTATCAGATATTTAAACTAATACAATTGATTTTTTAAACTTATTTATGGTAAGAAGTGAATTGTAGCTCTCTTTAGAAAATTAAATTTATTTCTATCTTCATGAAGTTTAATTTTTACTTTGAGTTATTACAAACTGCCTATTAATTACAAAATTCAGTCATTGATTTTATTTTATTCACAACATCACAATGATGTTGACAGTTTAATTGTTAAACCTTGCAAACCATATGAATTTGAAATCAGATGCTAAACTGAACATAATTTTTATTATTTGTATAATTTCTCGGATACTGTAGAATTTGCTCATAGAGCCAGTGAGGATGGCGAATGGCCAGAGGGATCCGGATCAGATTCTTGGAAATTTATAGGCAGTTGTGCTTCACTTATTGTCGACAATGTTCTTAATTCTGTCAAAAACTTAATTATTATTGTGTAATGTACAATAGAAAATAAGTTACGGTGATGGAATGATTATTTGTTTTTCCAAAACAGAAGTGTATTTGGTGACTTCTTTTAACTAAAAAATCTTCATTGGGCATATTCCAGTATGCATCAGTCTCGGCCACAACTGATGCACCAGTGAACAGTTTAATAAACTTTTACTGGAACATCTGGCAACTTGACAGTGCTATATTGGCATTTTTATACTTATTTTGTCAAAATAACTTTTGGGTTAATGCCATTTTTACTACTTGTCTATGTTAACAGTGTAATTGTGGATGTGGCAATATTGCTTAATCAGAGCCTACCACATCTGCAGATCAGAGTGTAATGTCGTCGGTTGTTGCACCATTGAACTCTGTGAATATCTGAACCTGTATTAGTAAATCACAGTTCTCTGATGTGCTATTTGATTTATATTGGAATGTACCCATTGTCTAAGTTTAGAAGAAATTCTATGTGAATTATCATAATTATAATAATTTGTCTTAATTGTGTATAGAATAAAATCTTAAATTAAGAATTATTATTTTGTTTTAGAAAACTTGCAAAATTTAACAATGCAAAAGACAAAGGAATGAAGATATTTCAAGATATTAAAATTGTTTGGAAAAGTATCTTATTGTAAGTTTGTTTTTTTTTTATGATTGAATATAAAGATTGGACCAAAATGAGCTATTTGTGATATATTTCAACTGTTTTGGTGTGGCCTGTAATTTTGTATATATTTTTTAGTTCAAATGTTAAATTTACACTTTGGTGTTTATAGGTTCAGAAATACAGTGTCTTTCAAAATGAATGCTACCATTTTAAATTACTGTAATTATATATATTATTATTCAAGAAGTATGTGACATATGTTGATTGATAGAGTAACCAACCGAGTTTGTCTCCCGTCCACGTTTGTACAACTATTGTCTACTACCTCTAAGAAGGTTGTAAACAAAAATGGGAATTCCACAACAGAAGACATTTTGTGTTGTGCACTTTGCAAGTTGGAATCACTTGTCATTGCACAACATGAGTAATCTTTGGAAGCCATCGAATTGTGGTTGCCATAGGAGAATGATGACATATATACTATAGTGAGCATAGGAAGAATTTGAGTATTGGTTGGATGTATGCCATTGACATGAGGTGCATGCATTGAGAAATTATAATAAGCAGATGTGAAATTTTGACAGTTTCCAATTTTTTAATGCATATTACAATGTTCTTGGGTAATAATTAACATAATTACAAAAATTTTAAATGGTAGCATTCTTTTTGGGAGGCCTTATATATAAAATATTGAAAATTTCCTTCTTACAACTTATAAATAAAATTTCTATTTTAGAAATTGAATTTTTTTCCAGAAAATTATTGAAAGTAATTTGATTTAAAAAAAATTGTGGCAAAAAAATCAGCAAAAGTATTATAAGGCTTAAAATGTACTTGATTAACTAAATCAACTAAAAAAATGTGATTTTTTTTTCAATTGTATTTTTCAATCATATTTCCACCAATTTTGTAAAAGAAAAATGCATTCTGAACTTGGTTTATAATTTTTATTTAAAAATGTACTTGGAATACTTGGAACTCTCAAATAAAACACGGTTGACTGACTTTTTGGCCACTCTGTATATTAATATTTGTGTGAAAATGGCAAAAAAAATATCTCTCAAAAAATTGCATTCTTGATGTTGGGAGTTGGTGTGAAGTGCCTATAAATTGTTTTGTTACTATATATAAAAAAATTATGTTTAAATCAGGGGTGTCCAATATTTTTGTTTCTCTGGGCCACATTGGAAGAAGTCATGGAGTTCTAGGCCACAAGTATATTGTGGCCCAGAACTCCATGTCATATTTACATGTCTAGATTATAATAGTAAGTATTAAAACTTTATCATGAAAAAGGATTTTAAAAAATTACTTCACAGACACTTTTAATTTCTACTTAGAAATAGATAAATTTATTTATTATAAAGGAGACAGACAAAAATTTATTTGAAAAACACAAATATTTGTTTTATTTGGGTCTTTAATTAATAACAAACAACAACAAAATATCATTTTAAAGTGCATTTTTATTCAACTAATATATTTATAAATAATATGTAGCCAATGTGCTAAATGATATTTTTTATGCCAAACTAAAAAAAAGGATAGCCAAATTTGGCCAAATCTCCATTAAAATCTTAAAAGGGGGAACATTCCTACAATGTTGTAATTTAAATGTGTGTGGTAAGTGTAGATTTCTGTGTCTTTATTTGGATTTTTAACTACTTTACACATGTTTTCAAAGTAAATGCTTTTGCTAGAAATTATGTTGTTTCATTCTAATTTTAAAATATATTTTATACTTTTCTAGTGCATTGCTAGCTTCTCTAGTGATTGCATTTATCTGGATATTTTTGATGAGGTGGATAGCGGGAATCATGCTGATCTTTAGCATTTTTGCCGTTCTTGGATTGTTCGGTTATTGTAAGTAGATTATATTTGTAGATTTTCCTAATTATTTTGTTGAATATCAAAGTGTTAACCTATTTCAAATGTTTCAGTGTCATACTATAGTTATACTCAATATAAATATCAGAGAGATTTGAGCCAAACGACCAACTCTACCAAGGAACTTATAAAACTTTCGGAGCAGGCCTATTTCAACAAGGATACTTGGCTGGTCTTAAGTATGTATTCTGATATTTTTAAAATTAGTTTTTAATAAGCTACACTAAATATACATTTTTTATTAACTAAATTTTTGAAAGTGACTTCACTGTTTTGCAAATACAGTGGTTCCTCATATAACGTACTTAATCTGTTCCAGGTGCATGTCCGTTAAGTGAAAAGTTCTTTATACGAAATGCATTTTCCCATAGAAATACATGTTAAAACATAATTCATTCTGCAGCATAAAATAACCGCACTGTACCATTAAAAAAAAAAAAAAAAAAAAAAAAAAAAATGAAAATGGAGCAGTCACCAATTATGCCAGGTAGTCAGATGATGTGAAGAGGAGGTGGAGGAACACTTTCTTCACACATTCATACAGATACAGACTTTCTACACATTGCAGCAGATCTCTACTGTTTTTTAATTGGAGTCAAATTCAGGAGAGGCTACCGGAGCTTGAGGGTCAACTCCTCTTGTTCCATCCTTTGTTTTTTGGCAACTGGCTTCTTGAAAAGCATAACCAAGGTGATTTGTTTCTTTCTTTTCTTTAACACCTGTCGGAAATGATGGGCAAGGGTGTCATTGTAGAGATCATTGATCCTGTTGGCCTCAGCTCTGTTTGGATAATGAGTGTTGGTAAACTCCTGAACCTCTCCCTATTTGACAAGGAAGTTTTGTCAACTTTCACACCTTCTGATGATTTCTTGCTTTGTTTCAATTGAAATCACCTTTCTGTTATTTTAGAAGCCATGATTTGCACAATACTTGAATAAATGTAAATACCCTGCACTGAGGTGATGTACATAATAAACAAGGGAGCAAGCCGAATCCCAACGGGAGCTCTGTACTTCAGATATACTAATAATATATTCTAATAATACTAATATATTATAAAAATAGCAGATTGTCATTGGCAATGGCAAAAGAGTGGAAACATCATT